ACAACCTGGATATCATTGGGCATGATGTAAATGAGGATAATAATTTGGAGGCAATGGGACCAAAAGAAAAAACTGCATAGATCTTTAGAGACCCAAATAGCAAACAACAAAAATAAACATCCAGTAAGACAACCCTGTAATTGTAAAATAAACTGCTGCGATAAGATCACTACTGAAGATAGAGTTCTTATCAATGAAGATTACTGGAACATGAATCGACATTTACAGCGAATATGGCTTTCATCTAATGTTACCGAAAAAAGAGAAAACTTCAAGAGGGAGGTCGAAGAAATCTTACAAGAAAATATGTGTTGCCAAACAAAAATAATCCAAATGGGGAAATAATTAAAGTGAATGTTTGCCAAAAGTTTTTTTTTAAGTACTCTGGGATACGGCAATGCAAATGTGCTAACATCATTACGATTATCCTTTACTGATACAAATGGAAACAAACGATTAGTACCACGACAAAATCAGCATGGTAGGCATCCACCGCCTAATAGAAAAGATAGAAACTTCATTGTAGCACATATAAATTCATACAATGCTTTGCCGTCACACTATGCAAGGGAAGATGCTCCCAATCGAAAATATCTGCCTCCAGACCTAACTAATTTAAGCATAATGATCATAACAGTTCTCATCCAGATAATAAAATATGCTATGAAGATTACCGACAAATGGTAGACCAAATGAATATTGGCTTTTATGAAATGACTCCAGAAAATTGCGGATTTTGTCTAGAAATGGATCTTAATGAGTCAAAAGAAAATCAACAATGTAAGGCTGAACACAAACTAAGGGTATGCCCTCAATATGGAAGATTCAATATGCCGAAGTACGTTGTTTTTCTGCAGATATGCAGAAAGTCGTGGTTCTATCACGGATGCCTGATGTAAAAGAATCTTTTTTTTTACATCGAGACTTATTACTTTCAACGAAAAATTCGCTTATATGCAAAAGAAAATGGGATATCATAATTTAATTTTATGGCATGAGGGGATAGCTGGTCGTCGTGCTAAAGACGTTGCAAGTGCCTTTATTGCATTTTTGAAACTAAATAGAGATGCAAATGAAATAATTATTTTGATGGATAACTGCACAGAGCAGAACAAAAATTTTGCTTTATATTCATCGATTATTTGCTATCTAAATTCTGCATATTGTTCAACTCATGAAATTATTCTAAAATATTTATTTAAGGGTCATACATCCATGGCCGCTTACGGCTTACATGTCAAGTCAAGTCAAATTTATTGATCACATGCGACATTATACAAAGTACATGTATGAGACAAGTCAAAAATACAGACATAAATCTTAAAATTATATAAATTAATTAAACACGATAAAACATACTTAAAATTATTTTTAGAATATGGCTCTAGCTCACAAATGTATTGATGTACACACCTCCGAAAGTTTGGCTGATGTAAATTCATTCGTATATCTATTGGTAATTTGTTAAAGAAACTTATGGCTGCATAATGTGTGCTACCTTCCAACAAAACAGAATGATGTTCTGTTGATGTTCAAAGTGATTGTCTCTGAATCTTGTTGAATAAACATGGTTAAACTGAAAGTTATTAAATTCATAAATTTTGCTATGCAAATACATTATACACGAAAATATATACAGACCAGGAATTGTCAGAATATTATTTTGTCTATAGATGTCTCTACAAGAATCTCTAAATTTCATTTTGTACATTATCCTAATAGCTCTTTTCTGAAGTACGAATATCTGCTCTAATTCAGAGGTACAACCCCAGACTTCACTGCCATATTTGGCTATTGAGTAAAAATGGGCAAAGTATACTGTTTTTAATATTGATGTATGAAAGAAACGTGAAATAATTCTTAATGCATAACATGCGCTACTTAATCTGAATTTCAAATTAAGAAATGTGGTTTGACCATTTACAATTACTGTCTAGAAGTACCCCCAGCAACTTCGTGCAGTCTGTTTTATCTGTTGCTGCTTCTATAGTGGCTTGATGGCTTAATAAATTATTTGACGTGAAAATCATATACTTTGATTTCTCTTCATTCAAAACTAATTTGTTGGATAAGAAATAACTTTTGATGGTGGATAGTATCTGTGAAGTTTTATTTTGCAAATTTTGATCAGACGTTCCTGTGACTAGAATGTTGGTATCATCCGCATAACTGATAATGTTAACCCCAGTCAGTGAATTAGTTACGAAAGTTATATCATTAATAAATACTATAAAAGTAGAGGACCCAATACACTACCCTGAGGGATAATATAATGGATATCCAATGTGTTTGATTCATTTACAAGTTCATTAGATGTTATCTTTACTTTTTGTCTTCTCTAGGTAGGAAGTAAACCATTTTAGAACTATACCACGAATACCAATCCCCTCAAATTTTATTAGCAACAAATTATGACCCAAAGTGTCAAAAGCCTTGGACAAATCGAGAGATAAACCACATGCCTTTTCTCGTCTGTCCAAAGCATCCAACACTAAGCGACAAAATTTGCAAGAGCTGTAGTTGTAGACTTAGAAGATGTAAAACCATGTTGAAAATTATGCAAGACACTATGCTTTTTCAGAAATGCTTTCATTCTAGTATAAACTAGAGTTTCAATTACCTTTGAAAACACAGATAAGAGACTTATGGGACGATAGTTGTTAAGGTCATCTTTATCAGCACTTTTGAATAAAGGGATTACAATAGATAGTTTAAACATACTAGGAAATATTCCTTGTTGAAAAGAGGCATTACAAATATCCGTCAGTGGATCTGCGAGAGCATGAATGCATTGTTTTAATAACTTAAATAAATAATAATAACCACAACTGTGTTTGGATTTAAAACTTCCGACTATACCAGTTATTTCCTGTGGGTTAGTTGGATATAAAAACATAGAAGAACTATTACCGTTTTTTGATGCTGATGTAAACCCATCTATTTTAGTAGGATCCAAAGCGGCAAGTAACTTTGGAGCCATTTCAACAAAATGGTGGTTAAATTTGTCTGCTAAATTACTGTTATCATCACTAGGTACTTTTGAGTTATTTTGTTTCCCGACTGTTAAGTTTACTAAACGCCAAATACATTTAATTTTATTTGATGATTCGTTTAACTGTCTCATGAAGTGACTACTTTAAGCAGCTTTTAATTTAATTGAATATTCTGCCTTTGCCAAATGAAGGACCGGCCTAAGACTAATATTTTGCTGACAGATCGTTTCTAACAGTTTAAGCTGATCCCTTAAATTGTACAGTTCCTGCGTAAACCAATTCGAACGTGTACATTTTTTAGCTTTACATTTAAGTAGTGGAAAATGGGACCGAAAGTAATTTTGGATAGTATTTAAAAAAGCTAATGATTTATCTTCAACAGAAATTGTATTAAATACTTCTGACCAATTTGTTGACTCAAGGGTTTGAACAAAACGATTTATATTCCTTTCAATATATGAACGGATGAATATATAGGCATCATTGTCTGTGTTAATGCTACATTGGAATATTTGCGCACGATGATCATAGATAAAACCTTCCACAACCATTGTTTTTTGTGGGTGATTTATGTTTGTAGCAATATAGTCAATTTGAGTTTTACTAGTTGCAGTTACTCTTGTATAATCATTCACAATTACAGTTAAGTCATAAGAATCTAAAACATCCACCAAGTTCTGCTTACTTAATGCATTTGATTTGAAATCTATATTAAAATCACCTTACCTTCGGAGACTAGCACATCAAGTATTAGATCCAGTTTTGACATAAAAACATCAATAGAGCCACGTCCAGTCAGATAAATACACAACACAACACAATTAAAAAGGCAATAGTCTATTTCAACAGCACTCACTTCAAAATTATATTTCTCAGATTGAGAACATATATTAGAACGTTGGCCGAATTGAGCAAGGTATGGAAAAGGTTAAAAACACCTTAAACAAGTTTGCGCAAAATTTTCAAGTAGGGCAGATATAAAAGTCTTAGAATGTTCTGATTTTTATAAATTTGAAAATATAATTCGTTCTCGAAGATCGAATCAAGGCGAGGAATCTATTATTTTTTAAGGACGTTGTTTGTGCAAAATTTCTTCGTGGCTCAACTGATTCTACGTACAAAACATCTTCTAGAGGTGAAATTTTAATTATAGAAAATACGTTAAGAAGAGAAGCAAAATTAATTATGCCTAGTGCAATGACAACAGATCGAGGAATATCTCTAAATAAGAAAGTAAAAATTGTAGCAGATCTTGTCTCTAGAATGCCCGTAAATAGGAAGCAGTTTTGGGTCGACCTTCTACAAAACGACCTGTAGATTTAATTAATGAAGGTGTTTATTTCATTTTAACTTGTTGACAATATATTTTGTATGTGACGAAATTTGGTGACAATGTATTTTTCGTTTTTTGTTGTTAGCTGACGAGTTTCAGCTGTAATGTTAATTCATAATAATGTTTTATTAAATATATTTTCTGTCTTTTCCATGGTAAAACTGTTTATGAATTTTTTATACTGTTTTTCTCCAGTAATAAGAAATTTAATATGTCAAAAAAACAGTATATGTCACTTTACAAGTAACTTTAAAAAAAGCAAGTATTTGTTGTTGTTATAATTATTGTAATAACATACTTTTTCATATTCCAAATTTAATTTATCTAACTTTATAAATAACAAAACGGCACAGTAAAAAATCAAAAAGTCATTTATCTCAAAATTCACTTTTTTCACATATACTATTTTACCTTTGCAGGCAAGATCTCGTAACAAAAAAAAATTATATTTAAGTAACGGATACATTAATTAATTAAAAGATACTGAGAATGAAAACTCTACATCTATATGGTTAAAATTTGAAGATAGTTCCGAAATATTCAAAACCGTTAAAAAATCCCACTTGTTCAAAAATGTAGAAGAAAGTGATAATGAAAATAATGCAAAGAATATTACAAATTATAATAGTTGGTATCTTTTCCAAAAATTTATAAAAAAAAACTTAAAAAATTACCTCGAACACAGAATCATTTCTCTTTGAATGCACAGTGCCAATTAAAGTTAAAATTCAAACTATTTTAGCCAGCAAAAGGATATTCAGATATTTATATTTGTAGATTATTGATATCTTATCTTCTTAGTAAATTTGCAGCTATTGCATTTTACATTTTAAGAGATAATTTTGTACATTATCTGTAAATAAATACTTCGCAACAAATAAACTAAAAGCACATTTCTATCAACACTATTTGATTGTGAATCCCAGAAATATGAACTGTTTAACTTCTTTTAATTCAAAAAGGAAGCAGTTTTATTGAACGAAAATAATTGTACCACACGAAATATATATATATATATATATATATATATATATATATATATATATATATATATATATATATATATACGGATATCTTGGGTTTAGTAGTCAATATTGGCCTTTAAGTAAAACTCTTTTAGGTTTGTTAAGCTTTCGAGTTTATTGTACTCTTTTTCAAAACGTACTAAAAATTAACATAAAAAATTACATTAGAAAAATGAAGTTATTATATCTTCAATAGGCTTACCCTTGTGAGGATTGTGTTTTAAAATTAGCAAAATTAATTAACAGAATGACATTAAATTTGATTTACTTTTTCGTTCTGTCAAAACTTATTACTAAGGTTTTCATGTCTCTTCTATTTTTTATATTTATTTTAGGTGAGTTTGACAGAGTCTATGTTTATGCAAACCTTCATTGCAAATTTTGATATAATATTACAGTTATTAAACAAGCAACAGAGTTTATGTTACTAAGTAATTAAGAAAGAAAAAACACAAATAAAAATAAATTTTATCTCATTTGAACTTGGAATAATCCCTTTAATATGCGTAACTTTTAAGAACTTTTATATTGTTATTCTTTTATTTAAAAGAAGATTACTGTATATATATATATATATATATATATATATATATATTATAACTCACCTACGGAAAAGTAAATCAAATTTAATGTCATTATGTTAATTAATTTTGCTAATTTTAAAACACAATCCTCACAAGGGATTGTGTTGTGTAAGCCTATTGAAGATATAACAAGTTCATTTTTCTAATGTAATTTTTTATGTTAATTATTAGTACGTTTTGAAAAAGAGTACACTAAACTCGAAAACTTAACAAACCTAAAAGAGTTTTACTTAAAGGCCAATATTGACTACTAAACCCAAGATATCCGTATATATTACTTACATAGTCACTAAAGCCCTTTCTAAGAATATATATATATATATATATATATATATATATATATATATATATATATATATATATATATATATATATATATATCTAAGTTAAGAAACCAGAACTGCTAATTCAACTATAATAAAAGGACAGCGTCAGCACGCTACACCTCGGCGTCACCGAGCTTACTTAATTTACTTTTGCATTGTATAGCGTCACTCTTATTTTGCATTTTACTGTAGTAAGTAGTCCCTTGTCAATAAAGTTATTTTTTAAAAATATTGTTCTTGGACTTAGAAACATCATTGGCGCAGTCAGTACAGATTTTCGGGAATTACGCTAAACGTTACAAAAATCGAACGGTTTCGCGTAGTTTTTCGTTTCAACGATTTACCGAAAAAACGAACTTTTTGTGAAAGTGTCCAAGATCAACTTTAGACAAGGTATCACCAAGACCTGGGGAAAGAACAAAAATCGTCGAACCCTAGAGGCAGTAGATTTAAGCAGTAGTTTCAACGAGACCTGGGAGAAGAACAAAATCGTCGAATCCTATAGGCAGCAATGTTGAAAATCTACATTTTAATGTAAGTGTTTCCTATTTTTTCCATTTTATTTTCCATTTTATTATTTCCATATTTGAAAATACTTATAGTCAGAGAGCTAACGAGAGCAAACAATTTTTTAAATGTTTTATGATTTTGCAAGATATTTTTAATAAGAAAAAGATTATTATTATTATTATATTATATTATTATATTTTTGACAATATCTTATTATATTGAAGTTGAACGTTCTATATTGAAACATATTTTATATTTTATTACAATTTGATATATTATCTGAATAAATATTTAATGAGCGAAACAGATAGCAAATTAGATTTAAGTAACCTTGTAGCAGAATTAAATTCAATTTTAGAAACAAATAGTAATACAAATAACGAAATGGCTCAAACGAACTATCAATTATTAAAACTTTACTTAGATTCCATCCCAACATACGATGGTAATCCACATACCTTAACCATATTTATAGACAATTGTGAAAATTTAATAACTAATTTTGCTAGTCAAACAGACGGCACCTTAAATACATTTTTACTTCGAGCTATATTAGGTAAATTAAATGGAAGAGCTCAAATGTTAATAGGTTCTAGGACAGAATTAAATACATGGCAACTCGTAAAAGATGCCCTTAATCTTAGTTTTGGAGACCAGAGAGATCTCGATTGCCTTATTCAAGACCTAATAACGTTGAGGCCTTTCAAAAATGAAACCCCTTATAATTTTGGCATGCGATGCCAAGAAACACGTAGTTTAGTAACACAAAAATTAAATACGCTTAATATTAATGCACAAGAGAAATTAATTAGAATAAACAGTTACGATGACTTATGTTTAAAGACTTACATTAGAGGCTTACCCTTATCGTTACAAACAAATATAAGATTAAGAAACCCAGACAGTTTAGAGAAAGCTATGAGCTTCGTTATCGAAGAAGAGAATTTTCTATATTCGTTACAACGCGGAAATAATTTAAACTCACAAAATTCTTTTAGACCCTCATCGAGACATAATCCTACGAGAAACAATAATTCTAATCGAACTTTTATTCCTAGAAATAATTTACAACAAAATCGCCCTAATATGAGATTTCCACCTTACCAATATCAAAACATCAGACCGCAATACCTAAATAATAATTTTAATCCCAACAATACCTTTCAGCCACATCAAAATCAATTCCGAAATTTCAATAATTATAATTCTAACTTTAATCCAAGAAATTTCGACAATAATAATTCTAATTTCCGACCAAGGAACTTCCATAATAATAATCCTAATTTTCAACAAAGAAATGTTAATAATCAATCCCAAAATCAAAATCAATACCAGCCAGAACCGATGGATACAACTTCACGAAATACTTCTTTAAGATCTAGACCACATTTTACCTCCACGCAATTATTTAATCAACAAATTAATAACGATCAAATACAATTCGAAAACCCCTTTGAAAATAATATTCCCACTGATTACGTACACCCAACTCAAGGAGCTAATGAACTTCCTTACGAGAACATTTATGAAACTCAATCCAATCCTTATCGCAATCCAAATGAAACAAAAGAAAGATCATATCACAATCCCACACAAAATGTTGAAAACAGAAATTTTTGCATGGCCCAAGAAAACTACAATCCGACATAATATATTTAAATACAACGATAGCAGATTTACCACATATTATTATTCCTGAACTCAATGCTAGATTTTTATTAGATACAGGGTCTTCCAAAAGTTTGATATCTCCACAGTTAGCGCATAAATTTTATAAAAATTTTATTTCTTACGAAAATTTTAATATACAGACGGCTCACGGAATTTCTATGCACAATGAAATAATTAATATTCCAGCTTTTAACATTTTTAAAGTAAATCAATATAATAAGTTTTATGTTTTTAAATTTAGCGAAAATTTTGATGGATTAATTGGTATAGATTTATTACAAAAATTAAAAGCTTCAATTAATGTTAACACGCGACAAATGAAAACGCCTTATGTAACGATACCCATAATTTTTGAACCCAGTAAAAAGGATATATTATATCCCGAGTCAATTTTAAATCATACAATAGTTATTCCCCCTAGAACTAAGCAAATAGTCAAAATACCGGTAAAATTAAATGTAGGATTAGGTATATTAGAATATAAGAATTTCGGTAAAGGAATCGAAATGCCTAAAGCAGTAGTTAATGTAAAAAATAATTTTGCTATAACCACTATTACGAATATAAGCGAATATAAGACAACGTTAACTATTACTGAACCCTTTGATATAGAACCATTAGATACTGTAAATATTAATTTTATAAGAAAGATGGAAACTGACGAAGAAACGTCTACTAATGATGATAACATGTTAAAGAGGAATTTAAAAAATATAAGGATAAATCATTGCAACAAAGAAGAAAAAGAATTACTAAAAAAGCTTTGTTTCCAATATAGAGATATTTTTTATTGCGAAGGAATACCTTTAAGTTTTACTAATAGTATTAAACATAAAATTAAATTTACTGATGATTCTGCAATATATACAAAATCATATCGTTTCCCGGAAGTTCACCGAGAAGAGGTTAAATCCCAAATATATAAGATGTTAGCAGAAGGTATAATAGAAGATAGCAATTCCCCGTTTTCGAGTCCCATTTGGGTGGTTCCGAAAAAACAAGATGCTACAGGAAAAAGAAAATGGCGTCTAGTAATAGATTATAGAAAGTTAAATGAGAGAACCGTAGATGACAAATACCCGTTACCAAACATAACAGAAATTTAAGATAAATTAGGGAGAGCAAATTACTTTTCGACACTAGATCTTGCAAGTGGCTTCCATCAAATAGAAGTCGACCCACAAGATGTTGAAAAAACAGCTTTTAGTACACCACAAGGTCACTTTCAATTCAAAAGAATGCCTTTTGGTTTAAAAAATGCACCCTCGACTTTTCAGAGAGTTATTGATAATGTTTTAAGAGGATTAACAGACGAAACGTGTATAGTATATTTAGACGATATTTTAATTTATAGTACATCTTTACAAGAGCATCTTGAAAAATTAAAAATAGTTTTCGAAAGACTCAGAAAGAGTAACTTGAAAGTACAATTAGACAAGTCAGAATTTTTACAAAAAACAGTTATGTATTTAGGACATGTAATTACCCCTCAAGGCGTAAAACCAAACCCTGATAAAATTTCTGCCATAAAAAGATTTCCCATTCCAAAAACTCAAACTGAAATAAAAAGCTTTTTAGGATTATTAGGTTACTACAGACGATTTA